GGATGATCCATCCGTATGAGGTTTGTTTGTTTGTTTTTTTAAAAAGATGCAAATTTTGGAAAATTCTTCAAAAAATAAAAATGAAACCCAAAAGTCTCTCAAGAGTTCAGGCTGAGTGAATTTGAATGTAACCCTGGGCAGATGTTCAGGATTACATCCTCTTGCCCATGCATACGGAGTTCATAGGTGTTAGTATAAGTCATAGTAAAAGTTAAACTTCTTCACTTTATTCAATATGTGCTGTTATCTGCTTTACATAAAGGGAATGATAATAACTACAAAGAAATTAAAATTAAGAGGACTGAAGTATCTACCCCTTTCATCTTTCCTCTTTTCCTTTTTATGTTCTTTTGATACTGATACTTATGCTGGAATTCTACAAGATGCCTTGTTTAAATGAGCTGTATAACTGTCCTCAGTTTTCTGTGAAGGTCATGGATTCAAATCCCACTCCCCCCCACCCCGCAAATGCTGGGAACAAGTGTATATTTAGGGTGCAGGCTTAGCTCAGTGGCAAAACTCATGTTGTGCCTGGCAAATGTCTCTTGTTCAGTCACCGAACAATGAAGGTGGAAGGAGAGCTGTAACAGAGTGGGGTGGCTATGGTTTCAACCTAGGGTACTAAATATTTTGTTGCTGGAAGAGTGCAAACATGCCCACGGGATTTGTTGCAAGAACCTGCTCACCCCAGGCAAGCAAATGAGCTTCGTTCCCCTCTCCCTGAGCAGAAGGAGACATAAAACTCTCCCCCCTTCCTCCATCTTTTCTCCAGGTATGGCAATCAAGCTTGGTCGTTTATGGCGCAACTTTTCTAAAACTTGGAAGGACGCCTGATGAATTTCCCCTGATGTCACCAATCTTGTCCCAAAACCTCCTTTCCAAACATCACCAGGTTTTCTAGGTTAAACAGCATAGTTTTAGCTAAAGCTGGTTTCCTGGTTGTACAATGCAAGGTTCTGACCATGCTCAGCACCTTGACTGGAAACGTGAGCTCTGAGTATTACAGCCTTCTGTTAATAATAATTTCATGCCATCATGTCAAGTCCAACTTGATAGGTTTTTTCCATGTTTTTTTTCTGTTTCCATAAAGTTCTTGGGAGTGGTTTATCAATTCCTTCTTCTGGGGCAGTCTGGGATTATGCAGCTTGCCCAAGGCTACACAGGCCAGCTCTTCTTGTGGCAGGCATGGTGGGAAATCCAACTCCCAAACTGTAACTCTGTAGCCAAGGACCTACCGGCTGGCCTTTTTTTTGCTCCTGGTCAATGAACCAGATGCTCTATCATTAACAGAAACTCTGTGCATGCTTAGTAGAAGGTCTCTCAGCTTTAACCATCCCATCAACTGCTATTTCACTTCCTGTCCAATCACCCCATACAAGACTTTTTATTTCCAATTGTGAAATTTTTAGAGTATATATTTTTAATTGTATTTTAATTGTTATTTTAACTGTATTTTAATTGTTGTAAGCTGCCTAGAGACCTTTGGGTAGTGTGAGCGGCATATAAGTTAAATAAATAAATAATTGGAAGGAGTGTGAGCGGCATATAAATAAATAAATAATTGGAAGTGGAAAGAAACTGGTAGACTTGTTGGTGCAAAACTGCCGTAAACTTAGCAGAGTCTTTTTCCAATCCAAGCAGTCCAAATAACTCACACACATACAGGCAGCTTCTCCCAACACCAAAGTATTTTTACAGTATATACAGCAGTTCCAACCGGCAGCACGACAGGATGACATCCAAGGAAGAGATCCGATACATCTTCAGTATATCTCCATACAAATATACACATACATATTTGGATACAGCTAATCACTGCAGATATTGCATCATCCATGACTCAGCATTCTGCATGACTCAGCATCTTGCACATCTGTGCAAACATGGCTGCTAATTAACACAAACCTTGTTCTGTCTCAGGTTTGGAAATTATCCTTGACATAGGCAGAAGATCATGTATTTATACATAAAGGGATTGGGCTGGATGATTGTATAGCTCAGCGAGTTAAAAAATTTGGAGTCTGCTCCCCCCACAATGCATGCAATGATTGTATAGCTCAGCGAGTTAAAAAATTAGGAGTCTGCTCCCCCCACAATGCATGCAGGAAGAAGAGCCAGCCTGTGTAGCCTTGGACAAACTGCACAATCCAAGGACACCTTCAGAAGAATGGAATAGTAAATATGTACTGAAATACAAAGTGGTGTTGATCTTAATTTCTAATCACAGATTTCCAAACTAGGAAATGTATTTTTGATGCCCCTTTTCCAACATTCTTTACCTACCACTATCTCCTATACGAATCCATTAGCCCAGCTGACAGAGATCACTGCCTGAGAGCAGTTGCCAGTCGGAGAAGGCAGAGCTGAGCCAGATGGATATATAAAGCTGACTCAGCAGCTGTTTATTTCTTGCTGTGCCTCCTGAGTTAATAACCCAAAGAGGAGTGCAGTTTCCTGCCACCTACAGCTGATCGAAGATAATGATTCCTATCATACTTGACAGCTTGCCAATATATACTGAATTCTGAAATAGAAGAAAACCCATTTGATTGACAAGAACCACAGAAGGCACTACTGCACGTTGTCTCTGACAGTGTTCGTCATGTTCTATAAGGTCTTCTCCTGCATTCGCCCGTATGTGGTCACAATGAGCTTTTAGATGTGTAGTTAAGATAGTTGTAAGTGTGCATGCAGGTAGGTATGTGCGCAGGAGAGGGAGAGAGAGAGAAGATGGAAGAGAGCGAGAAAGTGTGTGTGTGGGGGGAGACCCAGCAAAGTAGAAGCAACTGTGGAAGAAATCCAAGGTAGTCTGAGCCGTTTCTTTAGCCTGGAATGGAAAGTCAGTGAAAGAGCATGGTAGACTGTTGGCAGAAAGGAAAGTAACTTAAGGACAGGTGAAGGACTTTGATCTTTCTGGGGATGGATGAAAGGGCAGCATGATAAATAGGAGACAGGTTGTATCTAAGGCCTGTTGAGTGAGGGATTTTCTATATGCACATATACAGACTCCCTAACCCCTCTCTCAAACCATCTATTTTCTTGATCCAAAATTAGTACATCTTGGTCTTAAAATGAATGCCCTTTCTTCTTCAAATGAAGGACCACTGCTGATTGTGGTCCTGAGCCATTTCCCCTCCTGTGCTGGGCCATTCTCCTGTTTAGTGGCTGTTTGGTTTCTCCAATGTAGAGTTCCGAACACTCCTCTTTGCATTGGACCTCATATACTATATTGCTCCTGTTGTGTTTTGGTGTCTGGTCTTTTGAATGGACAGCTCTCTGCCTTAGTGTGCTGGTGGGTTTGAAGTGTACGGGTATGTAGCTCAGGACCACAATCAGCAGTGTTCCTTAATTTGAAGGACAAAGGACATTCACTTGATTACCAAGATATACTTGTAGCAAGTATGAGTAGCAAAATGTTTCAACCTAATAAGAAAGAAGCCATGAGTCAACTTCGAGATAAGAGTATATCTTATTCTCTTCCAAAAACTCCCAGGTACAGTCTTAGCCACATGCAGGGAAAGACTCCGGCCTCAAACCTTGGACAGTTGTTCCCAGTTAATGTAGACAATATTGAGCTATATGAACCTGTGGACTTACTGGATAAATGACAACCTTTCTGTTCCAAATCCCGTGTTGTCAAGTCAGAACCAACTTATAGTGACCCTAATAGGTCTTTCAAGGTAGGTGAGATATTTAAGGAGTGGTTTTTCCAGTTCCATATCCCCAGTGAGTTTCTGTGACCAAGTAGGGATTTGAACTTTGTTCTCCAGTCCTAGTCCATCACTCTATCCACTACATCACCTTGGGAATCTGTTCGTAATCCTAAACTTCCTATATTTCTCAATCATGCAGGGACATAATGTTTGAAGATGGCCAAAGTTTGCCATCTTACTAAGATGGATTCCACAGTGAAGGCTGCACAGGCAATGTAGCCTTTCTAAAGACATATTTGCCCTATGACAAAGTAGTGCTTGGAAATGCTCCTCTTTTTTTGGATGACGGCTCCGAGAATTCTCTAGCTAGCATGGGGAGTGTGGGAGCTGTAGTCTCAAATAATGTATTTGTTGAAGTCCCATGTTATCAGTGCCGGAGGACATACTCCTTTAGCTCTGACAAAGGAATACAGATAGCCAGAGGAATACAGATATTCGTTTGAGTAGGGATGGACCATCTGGGTACTGGATGGCTACATATTTTAATTCAATTCTTCAAAAAAGGTTTCTGGCTTATGAATGCTTCTGTGCCCACAATTTAAAAAGCCAGGAAATGGCCTAATATTGCTGTACAATATGGTGCCCACATTGTCAGCAGAAAAAAAGGGAGCCAAGCTTTCCATAGCAAAAGGCAGCCTAGATGTTGACAACACTGGTGAAAGTGGTAAAGATGGTCTGCAGCAATGGCGGTGAAACTTTTTGGGCTCACGTGCCCAAACATAAAAAAACACACACACACAGCAGGCGGCGCGCTGCAGCAGTGGAACCAGAGGTGGTGGCGGAAGGGGGAATCCCAACATGGAGGTGCCTCAATACTGCACTCCGGATCCGCCTGCTGAAGCGCCAGCACCGTGGCTGCAGCTGCCTTCTCAGGTTTGGCTGTGCAGGGGTGGGGTAGCGATCCGGTGACTTATGGCTCGCATGCCAGCAGAAAGGGCTGGTGTACAGGATGCTTTCTTCTCCTCACTACCATTCACAAAGTAACACCATGCAAAAGAAAATCCCAGAATCTGACTCTCTTTTTTCATCAGTTAACCACTTCACATCCAAAAGCTGGACTGTTTTTTTTTTTTAAACCAATGTGAAAAATAATAATCTATGGGAAGGCTGGATAGCCACATCCTGGAAAGCAGCATATTTTAATTTATAGATACGGCTGCATTTTTTAAACAAATATGGAAATGCAAAGAATTTTTGGGTGCTTGTGTTGTGTAAAAAATGTGTTATGTTACAGTTTAGATCATTTCTAACTCAAAATACATTTCTTTTCTTCCCCACATCTACTAGAAGACTCCAAAGGTATTCCAGGAATCCCTACAACCTACGCTGCTATCTTACGACTGAAATCTTTAAGTTCGTCGTATTCCTCGAGAAGTAGGCAACGATCAAGCAGCCCTTCCTTTGGAAGTATTTCATCACCAAGTTGGCATGCAGCAGCCACAGCCCAACAATACCACACACCGACAAACCTCTATCAAGTCTCTGAGGCCTTCAGACATGATGGTATGTTTGGTTCCTCCCCTACCCTTTTTTGTGGGTCCTTTGTAAAAAAGGGGGGCACAGTTTATTTATTTATTTATTTATTTGATTTACACCCCGCCTATCTGGCCCACCGGACCACTCTAGGCGGCTTCCAATATAAAATCAGATAATAAAAACATAGACAAATACATAATAATCAAACAGCAACAGCAGTAAAATAAAGAAGGAAAAGTAAGAGAGAAATCAGGAGTTGGCTGGAGGGAAGCCCTGGATAAATAACCATGTTTTTAGTTGGGTTTTAAAGGTGCCCAGCGTGGGGGCCGCGCGAATCTCCAGAGGGTGATTGTTCCAGAGGCGAGGAGCCACCGCCGAGAAGGCCCGGTTTCGTGTTTTCTCCTTCTGGGCCTCTCTTGGTCTCAGACTCCTCAGCCTCACCTCCTGACTCGTGCGGGTGATCCGGGTAGACCTTGGTGGGAGGAGGCGTTCCGCCAAATATCGAGGTCCTATACCGTTTAGGACCTTATAAGTAAGCATTAAAACTTTGAAGTTGACACGGAAACAGATGGGCAGCCAATGCAATGCGTCCAGTGTTGGAAAGATGTGTTGGTATTTCCTCACTCCTGTAAGGAGCCTGGCCGCCGCATTCATACAGTTCTGACGATTTTCCAAGATTGTTTATTGTATTCCACTTGTCTCTGCATCTTCTGTTAAATTTCAATAAACAACATCCAGGGGGATCACTTTTCTAAAAAAATCTCTTGATCTTCAAGCAAGCTCTTCCAACTTATATCCTAGGGTTCTTTTGTTAGCGAAACTGCAGTAACATATCTGTGGAAAATGAGACATGAAATGAAATTGCATTACAACACAGCCTGATCTATATTACTTATGTCTGTGTCTTTGAAAGTCAATAGAGTAAAAGCTTGAGAAACCAATATATTTCTGCCTTGATTGCTCTGGTATTTTTCCACATTGATTCCATAACACTAGTTATGTAGTTTATAACCGTGAAGATCTATTTATCAAACTAATTTTATCATCCGTCAAACATGTTTTATAAAAGTCTTCCGTAATACATACAAAGTACACCTTTGCAATTCTCCAATGAAAAAAAATCCTCAGAGATGATTAACGGTATGTATTATTCTGATGAAATCTTCTTTCACCATTTGTTCTGTTTTTGTGAGGAACTGTAATAATTCTTCAGTGTTGTATATGGCAGCAGCTCTAACCGTAACGTGATGAATGTAAATAATTAAATAAATAGTATCAAAGTCTTCAGAATGGAAGAGCTGAGATTTGTGTCTGTGGAATCCACAAAAAATAAATACAGATATGGATATTCCTTTTTATTTTATAAACATTATTTTAATATGTTTTACATTGGCAAGAAATGAACGCATGCATGGATTGAGTTAGCAGCGTACATCCAAATGTTTATGTATAAGACAGTATAAGACAATTTTTAAAACGATAATCTGATTTTTAGTACAGTAGAACCATGGTGTCTGTGGGGGATCAGTTCCAACCATCCCCACAGATGATAAAAATGTGGAAGTAGTGAACACTAGCAGCTTTCTCTATAAATACGCCGTGGAAATACATATTAAACACATATTTCTGTAGGGTTTTTTTATTTAATATTTTCAGGTGGTGGATAAGTGAATCCATGGATGTTCATCCAGCAGATAAGGGGGAGAAAGGTGATTAAAGTAAAATAAAATAAAGTCAAAACCCATATCCACAGGGATCAGTTCCAAGACCCCTGCAGATGCTGAAAAAAGTGGATAATAGTGAACACTACTTTAATAGCAAGTGCTATTCATAGCATGGTCTCTGGCTGTCTCTAGGAGCCAGTTATGGTAACTTCAGCTTTAGAAATATATAGTTCTAGGATTGTTCTTTTAATATTTAATATTTTTATTGTGGATCTTCAGCTTTAGAAATATATAGTTCTAGGACTGTTCTTTTAATAGTTAATATTTTTATTGTGGAACAGGGCCCTACTGTAAAATAAAATTAAATTCATTGGAATGTGCTAGAAACACACACTCAAAAATTTGTGACATCTGGTCCAGTTAAGATCGCTTCCAAAGGCCAAAATCATATTGCCATATTCTGCACATAATGGCATTTACACTAATAGTGGCCCTCCTTAGGGTTCTCCAGATATACTCAAAAGCGTTTCACCGTTCCCTTCCTGTGGGGGTTGTGTGAAACTGTACAGCTTGCCCAAGGCTACACAGGCTGACACCTCTTGCTAAAGGTGTAGTGGGGAATTGAACTCCCAACCTCTAGCGTCTCATCCAGATGCCTAATTCATTGACCTATTTAGGGAAGTCCACATTTCCATTTATCCTTGAAACTCACAGTGTGTCTTCAGGCCAGTTACATTCTCAGTTTAATCAACTTCACATATGTTTGTTGTGGAGGTACTGTGCAGGGGACAAGAGCCATGTATGCCACTTTGAGCTTGTTAAGGGAGTGGCAGGATGTAAAAGTAAATTATAAATAAATAAGCTACAGTTGTTGAGAGAAAGATACTTAAAGCTGCCTTTAAAAGAGAGCTTTCTATTCTCTTTCTTGTAAGATGATAACTTTTTCGCGTCCTTGTCTGTGACACAAAAAGTCTCAAACACGCAATTATCTCATACTATCACACCTGCACTGAGGGAAATGAACTGAAGGAGATTTTTAACAGGGTATATATCAATAATAATGTGCCGTTAAATCAGCTTTGACTTTTGGTGATCTTTTTTGAGGGTTTTCCAAGTAGAGAATACTAAGGTTTACCAGGTCCTTCTTCTGGAGGAGCCCTGGGACTGCAGCTTGCTCAAGGCTACATAGGCGGGCTCTTCATGGATGCACTGTGGGGAACAGTGGGGAAGAGTCCCAACCTCTGGCTCTGCAGTCAGAAGCCTAAACCACTGAGCTATCCAGTATAAAGAGGACAATTTCATTGTTTCTTGATGAGCTTTGTTTTCTGTGGCCCTGAGTCAGGACAACACCACTGTCCATGTCCAGGGGTGATTTTTTTTTAAAAAAAGAAAGAAGTTATTGTCTGTCCAGGCATTCTGGATACTTAGTTCAAAATAACTTAAAATGCCTGACTTTCGTAAGATTGAATCTGCTGTCTCTATGCATTATCTTGAGAATTTCAAAACTGATTAAGAGATCAGACTGTCTTTTTCCACAGTAATGAAGGTTAATTGAAAGACCCTGAAGAGCTATCACTTGAAGCACATCCAGAGCATTTGTAAATGGAAAGCAAATATTCAAAAGAATGAATACCAAAGTGAAAATGATGTGTTGCACAGCAGATAATACCAGATTAGTTTTATCCATGCTACGGCCTTTGCTGCTGAGATGGGAGCTTCTCCTTCTTCACAAAATCAAGAGAAGTGGTGTTCCTTTTTCAATACAAACCCTGTTCCCATCTCTATGAGTACTGTACTTAAGCAGCTGCAAGACCTCAGTATTAGACATAGGCTATTCATATTTAAGGGACGTGGTGGCGCTGTGGGCTAAACCGCAGAAGCCTGTGCTGCAGGGTCAGAAGACCAGCAGTCGTAAGATCAAATCCACACAATGGAGTGAGCTCCCGTTTCCTGTCCCAGCTCCTGCCAACCTAGCGGTTTGAAAGCATGCAAATGTGAGTAGATAAATAGGGACCACCTCAGTGGGAAGATAACAGCGTTCCGTGTCCAAGTCGCACTGGCCATGTGACCATGGAAGATTGTCTTCGGACAAAACGCTGGCTCTATGGCTTGGAAACGGGGATGAGCACCGCCCCCCAGAGTCGAACACGACTGGACAAAAATTGTCAAGGGGAACCTTTACCTTTACCTATTCATATTTATATCCCTGGGGATATGAATACCAGTCATGGCACCTCAGGTGGCACAAGGGTCTATTCTTTCCCCCCAGAACTGGCCAGTTCACTCACTGGTTGCTGTGCAGCTGAGTCCTTCATCCTTGTCATTGTCACGGCTGGTGCTTCTCTGCCTCCCCGTGGCCAGTTCACTCACTGGTTGCTGTGCAGTTGAGTCCTTCATCATTGTCATGGCTGGTGCTTCCCTGCCTCCCCACGCAGCTGACCACTCCAGTGAGGAGGTGGGATGGGTAGTCTTCCCACTCAGCTGATGAGTAGTCAGCTGCATAGGGAGGCAGGGAAGCGCCAGCCGGGCTCCTTCCCAGATTGGCATGACAATTATGACAAAGGACCTGAGCACTGTGTGACAATGGGTGAGTGAACCAACTGGTTCGGGGGGGGAGGGAGAGAATGGGCTACCTGAGATATGAATTCAAATAGCCTATGTCTACACAGTATCTATGTTTCATCATCATTGCCCTCCACGTCCCTACATACAGTGCATATTCATGAAGTTCCATGTTAACTAACCTCCATTGTTCTGTCATTTTTGGATCATTTCCCCTGAGTTTCTATCAGTAAATAAAGCATCGTAAACCATAAAGCTGGGTAACTCTGCTTCTCGCGGTGCCTTGCGGTCACTGCCATTTAAAAATTAAATATAAAAATGTATATGAATATTTTGTTGCAGTCTGGTCCTGAGAGTGCAGCCATAGCTCACAGGGGTTCTGGCCAGGATTAGTGTGATCCTAATTAGCCAAGTCAGTTGAGGTCCATAAGAGCCCTTAATAGACTACCTAAAGCTATGCTAAATCCAAACTGCTCCCATTCTAGTTGGAGATTGCTTACTCTTATGTACTCTTAGAACTGCAGACCTGGAAGGGACCCTAAGGATTATCGAATCTAGCCCCTGTCAAGGAGGCACAGTGGGGAATCGAATTCCAAACCTCCATTGCCGCAGTCAGATCCCTAAACCACTGAACTATTCAGCATATAGGATTCCCCTAACCCTATCCTAATGTACTGGCACAATAGTTTTGAGGCTGGGCTAAAGGGGATTTGGGCCTGGCATAAGAAAGCTCAGTCTCCTTCTCCCCCACTTTTTTTTTTGTTCTTCCACTAAATCTCAGCCAATATGGTGGTTGTGCTG